CTTCATACCAAAATATATCAAAATTTAAAAATTGAAGTTTCTAAATGTTAAATTTTTATAAGGTATGCAATGTATACTTACATCGTTACATGGTGGTTTTGTAGAAAAAATCAAAAACAAATTTCTACCTGATAAAAATGTATTTTTTTTTTACCCAATTTGTATATTTAACACATGGTATTTGTTGTGAGTGAAATGAGCAGTTTTGGTATAGGTACATACTGTTGTGAATGGGTGGATCATGGGTAGTTGGATGGATAAAGTATACTTGGCTTCTTTAATAAAAATTACTCACCGCGTCACTGATTAAAGTTTAATATTAATTAAGGCTGCTTAATCTTAAAAATGAATTTAAAAAAATGTAGACAGGTGGGTGCTGCTCTGTTGTACATTAGGTGTTAAGCAGAGACAGTCTGGTCTATTTCACTAAATATATTTCATATCATGTTTTTGATAAAGCTATTAGAATAATCTATTTTACTTTTAGTTTTATAGTAAATTAATAAAAAAAATGTTGATAATATTGAATTTATTATAAAATAAGTAGGTATCTACTATCTAACTATTATAAATATATATATTTAGTATTTATAACATATTATATTATTAACTTACATAAATTAAAATTTAAATATTGTAAAACAGTAAAAATAAGTTCATAGTATAAATAGATAATATCTTAAATCAAAAATGTCATTGCGTATAGTAAAATTTATTATAATATAATATACGTAGAAGTTTTGAATCCTCAGAAATAATGTTTTAATGACTTATAAAAAAATAATTAACTATTCAAATATAAATTTTTTCAGATGTCTAAAAAAATTAGTTGTTTATTTATAAGATTTTTTAGTTCTAGTATGAAATACTTAAAAAGAGTATTATATTACAATTTCAAACCTAAAATATGAAAATCAAAGATTTTATAAAAATTTTACAACAAACTACAAAATAATTTGTAATTTTTGAGATTTTTACAAATTTTGTCAAAAATCTAACTTTAAATGTTTATGTAAACTATAAAATATGATGAATATTGCAAAATTCACATTTTTAGATAAATAATAACATTTTAATAAAATTAACAAAGTAAAATTTACAATGTTTTAATTTTTAAATTTTAGAAGAACAACAAGTGATGGTATAAAAAAGAGTCATTATATTTGTAGGTACCTATTGAAAGGGCAGGAGACTAAAGATAGAAACGCGTCTTTCCGACGCCACGCGCGCTCACAATTTTAGCTGCATTCGTATCTATATAGTTGATTTAAATTGAGTGTTCATAAGCGCACTCGTAAAAACAAAAGTTAATATAAATACGAAAAACTTGTGTTTATTAATAAACTCAGACGTGAATGGTGTGCGGTGAACACAATTATTTTACTGAGTAGATATTATATTGTATTATATAGTGCCTATAATTTATATTTATATAGTTTTATGCTGTGAAAATTTAAATTACAAAAAAATATAATAATTTTAACTTTCAATCGTTTGAAGTTGATGAAAATTCCACCTTTATGTATACTTATGCAGTTCTACTTCTCGAGTGAGTATTAGTTATATTTATAGGCATATGTTGATGCTAAATAGTTTTTTTTATTGTTTGTTCTAAAAAATCAATAACAAAAAATGCACTTAAAATGTTATTATTAATAATATAATGTATTTACTGTGATAAGTACACTAAAATTTAATTTAATTGAGGTATGTACTATAATAAGTAGGTAATAGTACCTACCTTTTTTATAGGTACAAACTTATAAATTTAAAACATTTTAAAAATGTTTCCTATCATGTTATTTTCTGTATAATTTTCATGACTTAACCATAAAAAAGTAACAAAAATTTAATTATTAACAGGTATACTCGTATATATTTTTAAATTAATAATTATTAAAAGTTTCTACGGAATTATTTTACATTGGTTTGCAACAGTCCATAAAATTTCGAGAGTTACTATTTTGCAAGTTCCAATCATATTATACTATCTAGTAGGTTCATTGTTAATAGCACTTTTTTAAAAGAAGTTATACAGTTTTTACTCATCAATTATCCTCGAACAAAAATATTGAATTTGTAAATATTATTACACATTATATTGTCAAAACAAAAATATTTATCTTAAATAAACTTTTGATTTTTTTCAAAAATTTTCATTTAAATTTATATAATTATTTATGGTAATAAAAGAACATAAGTCTTTAAATACATCATTTATAATATGATTTATAAAATTAAACTTAATATATATATTATATCGTATCAATTATTAATTAGCTTAAAAAATAATAGATATACATAAAAAGTGTATTAAACAGTTATGTTCTTTTGTTGCTTAAATTTATTGATCAATTTATGAGTTTAAAATAAATAGATTTTTTATACAAAAATAAATAAATAAATTGCATTAATATTTGATTTATACTTTGTTATTGTAAGAGATGGAATTCATAAGTTGTCCCAACAAAAAAATACTCATTAATCTACCATCAATATATATGCTAATCACAAGATAGATTATAATTATATTTTCTTACTACCTAAATGCCCCAATGGCTAAGTAAAATATAATATATTTTATGCTAATAAAGATGTGATTAAACTAAATTTATTATTATTTATTCCTTTGTATAGATTAGATAGTTCGGTACCTCAGAATGAATAAATAGATTTATATTAAACTTAATTTGGGTGAGTTTAATTAGGAAGTGTATAAATACGCTTGTCACAGAATAAATGAATGTAGTTATTATTCAAATTTAAATTCTGAGTTCAGTTGTTCAAGCATTCATTTTGTGTAGATGTATAAAAATCGACCATTTTTTTCAATAATCCTATTTTATTTTATGGTCAAACCACCTGTCATTTAAACCGGTTATACAGACGTAGGTATGTTCCCACGAAACACAAATGTTTATATTCACTCTTATTCTTATAAGTATGTAAATAAACGTTTCAGATATGTTTAGCTCACACTTCACTATGGTTAGACCATTGCAAATCGTGGTGGTTTTAATTCTAGTAAATTTAGTAGCTCCGTCTTTAGCTGCAAATATTTTGTATCCGGTGGAAAGTGAAAGTCGCGAAGTTCGTACTCTACATGGCCTATGGAACTTCAAAATATCTCCACCATCAAACCAAATGATTGGGTTTGATGAAAATTGGTACGCGACGAGATTTGAAACAGTAAGTCAATGTAAAAATACTAATTATAATACAATTATGAAGATTAATATTTATTTTAGAACTGATTCAAATATACACGTACATAAAATATAACATGATAATGTTTGTGGAAAATCAAAAATAATTTATAATACTTCATAATTAATATTTGAGTAGATATATATAAACATCGTAAACAATAATACCGTTTTTTTTAGCTTGGTGATTATTGGAAAATGCCTGTTCCATCTAGTTATAATGATGTTTCTACAAACTCAACCATACGAGATTACGTCGGTTGGGCATGGTATCAATATGAATTCTATGTACCAAAAAGATGGACTGATGATCAACTGAATGTATTCTTACGTTTTAGCAGTGTGCATTTCAAATCGATTGTGGTATATACTAAAATTTCGTGTTGATTTTCAGCTTAAAAAAATCTTGATAATTGCATAATAATAATAATCAATATGAATTTTAAAAACTCTATTAAATAACCTATTCTTAACTAATATAGAGTAGATACGAAACTATATCTGTGTATTTCAGTTAATTTATACATTACGTTAGATATTTGATAATAACATTTTAATATATTATAAGTATTACATGATTAATAGTGATGTAGTATGTATTTGTATGTTCATAGCACTTTTTTTGTAGAACATTTTTTTAAGTATATGTTCTTTTTAAAGCCATTTATTTTATCGTGTAATTTACAGCATTTCTCAAAAATATAATGTAGGTAGGTTCATTGTTAATAGCACTTTTTTAAAAGGAGTTATACAGTTTTTACTCATCAATTATCCTCAAACAAAAATATTGAATGTGTAAACATTATTACGCATTATATTGTTAAAACAAAAATATTTATCTTAAATAAAATTTTGATTTTTTACAAAAATTTTCATTTAAATTCAAATAATTATTTATGGTATGTAATAAAAGAACACAAGTCTTTTAAATAAATAATTTATAATATGATTTATAAAATTAAACTTGATATATATTATTATATCGTATCAATTACTAATTAGCTTAAAAAATAATAGATATACATAAAAAATGTATCAAAACAGTTATGTTCTTTTGTTGCTTGAAAAAATTACTTTAGTTTTTATGAAAAGATTTAAAATATTAGAAGTTCATATAAGATAATATTTTTTCTTGTAAAAAGATGCTGTGAAAGTATGAATATACAAATACTTACATCATTTTAATTTTAATTTATATATATACACACATTAGCTAAAATATAATGTATGGTTACAGTGGTTAAATGGTCAAATATGTGTAGATCATGAAGGCGGTCACTTACCGTTTACTGGTAATGCTACTGATTTTCTTAAATATGGTGAACCTAATCTAATCGTCGTTGCTGTAAATAATACACTGAGACCAGATACTATACCACAGGGGTATACAACATATCCAAACAACACGTACAAGTAATTAAATTTAATCTAAATACTAAATTAAAAATTAATTTTAATCGTTAACTAGATTATTATATCATACAAAATTACTAATAATAATATTAACAGGTATCCAAAAAATTATACTATATATTCTCACGAGTTTGATTATTTTGATTATTCTGGTATAAATAGAGCTGTCCATTTATATACAACGCCAAAAGTTTACGTTTGTGACATTACTGTATTTACGAATTTTGGAAATAATTCAGAAGGTAAAATTTAATTGGTATTTAGTAATGTGTGTTAATGCTAAAATTGTGCAAAATTAACTAGTTTAAAATTAATTTAATATTTTGTTAATTTCAATTTCAATTCATGTTAGTAAAATATTTTAAAATAAATATCCATGCAAGTATTTTGTAGGTCATTGATCATTGTTATTGTCATAAATATTTAAGTTCTATGGCCTATGCAGTCTAAATGTATTATTATAGATTAATTTATATTTAAAAGCATATAAAATTAATTTAAACTTTTATAGGAATCGTTGACTACAAGGTTGATATTTGTGGAAATAATATTATTGAATGTAATATTACACTTTTGGATGCTAATCGAAATACAGTAGTCGAATCGAATACGTGTTCTGGACAGTTAATAATACCAAATGTAATACCTTGGTGGCCAATTATGTCTGGTAAAAAACACATAGCATACTTATATACTTTCCAGGTATCATTCTATTTAATATATCGATAAATATTAGTTCAATAAACTATAATAATAGTAGTTAATTAACGAATGGTGTCTATTAGGTGAAGACCAATAATGAAAATAGTGATTATTATCGTTTACCAATTGGTGTTAGAACACTTCAATGGACATCAAAAGAATTATTGCTAAATAATGAACCGATTTATTTAAGAGGATTTGGAAAACACGAAGATTCTATAGTTAGTACTTAGTAACTAAGTCTTAGTTATTAAAATGTTATGAATACAAATAACTACTAATTACCTTAAAAAATTTTAAACAGCAGATTAAAAATAAATCTAAAATGTAACCAACCTAATGTAATTAAAATTGCTGAAAATCTTCAGTTAAGCAATTATAACGTTGTATTTTTAAGTTATTTCAAATATGTAATATTACGCACAATTATAATTATGAATAATGACTTAAAAATATAATTTTTATTCCTTTAAATTAAATATAGATACATATTTTAAATAGATAATGAAATTAAAATAGTTGAAAATTTTAAAACAATTTGTATCTGGCTTACATAGAAAAATTTGAAAATTGGAAAATACTCCGTTACTAAAATCAAAAAAAATTTGTTTAAATGTAATTTAAAAAATAGTTGTAAATTAAAACTGCTTGATCGTAATAGTAGGTATTATTCAGTATTAATATTTAGGTACAATAACCTAGTAAATATAGCAGTCTCATATAGGAGTAAAAAGAATACATACTACTCGTATATTGATGAATCAATTTTAATGAAATTATATTGAACAAAGAAGCTTAAATTTAGAGTACAGATTATTTTAAACATTTTACATCTATTTTAAATACAGATTTTATGACTCTAAATACGTATAACATAAAATTCCTTGATAACTAATAAGATATTAGTTAATAAATATAATAATCTTCTCAAGAAATTTTAGATTTTTTAATGTTTATTGAAGTGTGTTTTAAATACAGTTATCTACTTCATATTTATAGATACGGGGAAGAGGTTATGATGATGCATTAAGTGCCAGAGACTATTATTTAATAAAATGGTTAGGTGCTAATTCTTTTCGTACATCACACTACCCTTACGCAGAAGAAACATTACAGCAAGCTGATTCAGAAGGTATATTAGTAATTGTGGAAAGTGCTGCGTGTAACTTAAGGTAGGTATTAATACACTTTAAAATTATTTGCCTACTTAAAATTAATCAGTGAATCTTAAAGTATAGGTACATTAAGTATAGTAAACGCTAATCTACATAGTATATTCATATACAATAAAACGATAATTGAATAGACAATGAAATGAATAATTTGTTTAATATTATAATATGTTTAAAGAATATTTGGACCAGATGTATTGAAATTCCATAAAGGTGTAATGACAGAAAACATAAATCGTGATAAAAATCATCCAAGTGTAATTATGTGGTCATTGGCTAACGAACCATATAACAATGTAAATTCATCCGTATCGTATTTTCGGTAAGTATTGAGTTCTATTTAATGAACTAAAATTTCTTAATTGCATATTTTAATGTAGTTGATATTTGTAGTTGTACCAACAATTTTCATATTAATATATTATAGCTTAATGTTTGTCATGTTATACATTTATAAAAGAAAATATTATTTGCTTAAGAAATCTTACTAAAAAATATATTTGTTAACCATTTATTTTATTTTGAAAGAAAACTTTACAAATATGTACGAAATATCGATCCGTCAAGACCAATAACTTTTGTCAACAGTCAACAAATTCAAAATGCTAAAGCGGTAAAATAGCTATAATTTAAATTAAATAAAATACAATTCAATACAAGTTTTGAATTTATTAATGTTTTAGTGATGTATTTAAATGATCTTAAATATGTCTTACATATTTTTATTAGCAAATTAAAATCATTTTAAAACTTTCATTTTAACATTTATAAATTTTATAAATTTAAATAAAAATGCATTTATGATTTATTGAAAATGTTATAGATTGAATACATGGATATTCTAACTTTAAACCGTTACAGCAGCTGGTATAGTGATTCAGGTCATTTAGAGCTTATTCAATATCAGATATACAATGAATTTGAAGCATTTACAAAAAAATACAATAAACCTATACTATTAACTGAATATGGTGCTGGAGCAATTGCTGGATTTCATTCGGTATGTGTTTTATTAATAATATTTGCAGTATTTTAATTGAAAAAATACGATTTTTACTAAATAAAATTATTAATTTTATATTGAATAATAAATCGAGTGTGTTCACTCTACTTTTTCTTCAATAACGTAAATTTAAATTTATTTATTGCGTGTGGAGTTTTTAATATATCTACTTTAAGGCTAAATTTTTAAAGTCTTGAAATTTTTTTGTTCCACTTACGGAGTATTATATGGAGTTAATAGATCCATAATAATGGGTTTGTAAGATATCACAAGACTATGATGATTTGATAAATTAAGTAATTAATTTTAATATGTCAACATTTATAATTTTTAAAAACGGCTCAAGTTTATATAATTACTAGATCCAGTAGGTATAAGTGTATTACATTCATTGTATATACTTATAAAATCATTATAAAGCCTAATAAATTGTCTACTAAATAATTTATTGGAAAAAATATTGTTCTCATTTGAAAAATAAAAGTTTATATCACCACAGGATATTTCTTAAGTAGTATAAAAAAATCTCAATAATTTGACAATTCTAAAGATCAGAATTTGAATAAATAAATTATTAATGGAAAAATGGATTCTTGGCGAGTCACCCTAAATAGTATTATAATAAAATGAATAATTTAATTTATAATTCTATTTCTGAGCGTGTTTCATATTTTATTTATATTATTATAAGTATTTTTTTTTTTTTATATAAATAATAAAAAATAATTTGAATTAATCTTTTCTAAAAATATTACATATATTTTAATATATTATTAATTATAATATCATATTTATATTTAATGCATTCTTGAGGGATATGAAGAAAAATAATAGTGGCGCGTGAGATTCCTAATTATTACCCAATTTTTCTTTTAATGTTTAAACCAAGGGTGTCCAACCTTTTTTGAAGACTGAGCCACATTTCCACATCATATGAGTAGAAGTTGTTGTGGGCCACATACATTCTAATAATTATACATTCAAATTTAGTGATAAAATTATAATACAATAGTTAACAATACATTTTTTTGTAATTTTACCACAGAAAATAATTACTAAAATTTTTTTTACAAGTTATTGCATTTTAATTATAATTACAAGGAAAAACGTATTTATTTATAATAATTTAAAACAGTATAATATTTTATCGAAATCGGCTGGAGTTGATTGACTGATCACCCGTATCGATAATTAATGTGTGCGGCACACAAAAAAAAAAAAGTTTAAAAATACTGTATTAAAATATTTAGTGTTACTTGTTACTTGTATTATATTATAATTTAAGTTTGAGAAATTATTCAGTTTAACAAGAAGATAAATAATATCATGTAGATTTTTATTTTGTTTGAATAGTTATAAACAACAAAAATAAAATATTTCTAAATTTATAATAATATAGAATTTGAGGTTTTACTATTAAAAAACGTCATAAAAAGTCAATAGAAAAGATAATTTTATTAAAACAAACTTTTTCTACACTTTTCTGACATGGGGAATATCCCCAGAAACTTTTTCCAGATATGTTTATGATTTTATTTTCCCAGGAAAGTGCCCATTCCTATGTGTGCTTGACATTCGTAATATAGCTATCGAACCCAATAAAGATAATACTTTCATACACTATTATATTTTATTTTATTTTTAATATTTTGTAGTTTTATATTTTTTTAATGATTTTTTCTCGTAATATCAATGTATTATTTACAATTAATTTATGGTTTTTAAATTGAAGTGAGGGCCGCATCAATATCTTCCGTGGGCCGCGGGTTGAACACCCCTAGTTTAAACCGTCAATTTAATTTTTTTTTTTTTTATTGAAAAATTTCAACGTTAATAAATAAATAATTGTTATGTATTTTTGAAAATTTTAATTGCATTTGAATAATTTGTGAAAAATATTGTAAAAATTTAAAATGAATCAAAATTCATAAGTAATAAATTCAAATAATTATTTAAAAAAAATCAATAGATTTTTAAAATTATATAGAAAAATATTCTAGATAAAATATCTAATTTAAGATAATCATAAGTATTTTCTATTAATGTTAAAAATTATCATATCACTCTGAAAATTCAAAATAATACATATTTTTATTAATACTATATAATTTAAGCTGCCAGAAACTATGTGGAGTGAAGATTATCACGTTACTCTGCTTCAAGAATATTTTAAAACTTTTGATTCATTAATAGCTAATGGAATTCCAATCCTTGGAGAAATGATATGGAATTTTGCCGATTTTAAAACACCACAAGGTAAACAAATTTTAAAATCTTATTTCTATACTAGTTATTTAACAATATTTTTTATTTATTAGAGTATATAAGACCGGGGTTGTGTGTAAAAGGATTATTTACCAGAGAAAGACAACCCAAGATGGCTGCATATGTAGTAAAAGAACGTTTTAATACATTTAAAAGCAACTTTGCATGGAAAAATCAATCTTTAGGTGTGAATAAGTTGATTACAGGCGCATAAGTAATTATATAACAAAAATGATAATATATTATGTTGTATCATTTTTTTTTCTCTAAAATGTATTGTGTAATAATTTATTAGATAAACTACTTAACACGTAGGTATTTATAGGTTTATTTGTAGGTTTGTATATTGTACACAAAAAAATATTAAACATTCAAATGACAAATAAATATTTGGTTTTAAAATAACCTTCTAACATAATTATCAATATGTAAAACTTTTTATTATTATTATTATTATATTATACAAAAAACTTAGGGAACTAATTCTATAAGCTATAGGTGGACTTTGATGTAATTTATATCTTTGATTGAAATTCAGTTTCACAGAAATCGATTTCAAGAAATAAATTTAAGTACCTACAAGGTGATTTTGAGTGTCTACACTTTTTATTTTAAAACATTTTAACTATTATAAAACTATTATTTTTACAAGTCATTAAAAAATAAATGTTTGGGAAATAAATTATAGTTTTTATTTTTAAAAGTTTTTTTTTTCTTTTTGAATGATAACATACTATTATTTCTTACTTCTAACAATAATATACTTTTCGATGTATTTCAATACATAAAAATCGAATTTCAAAGATATTAGTTAATTAGTTATAATAGTATTTTAAATATTGATGAGCAGAGTAGTGAACCAATATGTGGTAGTTGTGGAGCATAAAAACTAATAAGTCATTCTGCTATTTAGTAGGTTTCAAATGTACCACCACACCTCTTCATTGAGTAAATTACTGTAATGGATGTATACAATTTTAATTCAATGATTAATCATTGAATATAAAAAACGATTCAGAGCGGAAACGGTATGACAGCATCTATTGCTAAGACTATTTTATAATATATTTATATTACTATAGGTAATTTATTTTTCTATTAGTATACAATATACGTATCATAACACCACGTAAATAAGATTATAGTATAAATTATAGCTTAAACTTATTTTAAATATTTTAGAATCTGAGCGGAGTAATATCAATATAAAAGTTTGAAAATTTAATACAAAAATTTTCATAATTTTTTCACAATATACTGATATAAAAGATGTGAAGATAAATATTAAAGATAAATTGAAACACTTTTTTTTTTTTAAATCATTTGAAGTTTTAGACTTGTTAAAATAATTTAAATTAATGTTAAAAATGTACAAAACATTCAATTTTAAATTTTGAATAAAACCAAGGAAATATTGATTTTATAAGGTGTGTGTGTGAATGTGTTTTTTGTATCTCACATTTTTTTAGGGCAATAAATGTAATGATTACCTATTTATTATAGAACACGAATAATTGAATACATCCATTTCAGTTATTCATTAGACATTTACTGTATAGTAGTCAGTAGAGCGGTTATTATAATATACAATACACATAATAATGAAAAGTTCCAAATCCCTATGATTTATACGTATATATTTTCGATAGTTTTAAATTTAAGTAAGAACAACTTATTGTTGAGAAAACTTGTATAACATCTTAAGACCTTTGTCATTAAAACTGAAAATTGTGTATTTGTTTAACTACAAAATTATTTATAAATATATTCGTAATTTTTAACGAATTTTGTTAAAATTTTCAAATGCTTAATAAAAGAAACCAAAACTTTTATTAAGACTATAATATATTCTCAATATTTTATATGTTTTATAAACAACTTATAAATTACCTTGAATTTAATTTTCAAGTATTATTTTAATAAACTGAAAAAACAAACATTTTATTTTACTTGAAAGTCAAAAATTTCAAATTTATAATATTTTAATATAATTATCATTAAAAACAGCCAAAATATTTAAAAAATGATATCATGTCTAAAATACTATAATTTAAATATTTGATAAAAATTTTAAGTATTCACCGCAGTTAATCTTTTTTAAATTGCAAAAAAATAAAAAATAAATTTTTCTAAGAATTTATAATAAATATTTATATTAAATATTTTCGTTTTTTTCCGATTATTAAGAAAAGTCTAAAAAATATTTATATGTATATTTCTCTCCAAAGTACAAACTAGATTCAAGTTGCTTTCAGAAACTATACTCAAAATTGAAGATTGAAATATTTTTATTTTTTAAAATTGTACTCAAAGCCGTAAAAAGTATAACTGACCTACTAAATTTTTAAACTTTTACTAGTCCAAAATCTGTTAAAATAAATTAAAACAATTAAATGTTAAACTTAATCTTTTTAAATTTTATTTAGCCCTCCTGGTTGAATTCAGTGACTTTCCGATCTATCTGAACTTTTTTTTTAATGCTCCAAAAAGTTATAAACTGATAACAAACATAAAAATACAAATCACTCCATTCAAAAAATACTCCGATTCTAATTTTTTTCTTCTTTTAGTTATTAATAATACTATAGATTATTTACTATTAAGTGTATAAATTCCTTTTAAAGAAATTAATTATTTTATGTGTATTTGTATATCCGTTATCATAAAAATCATATGATTACTTTAAGATTTGTTTATCACATAAAATGTACAGAACAGTAACGGAACGATGAAACTCTGGATAATATTTTTGGTATTAAATTTAAAAATTCTTTCTATATTGTTTTAATTTAATTTTTTTGTTTTACTATGTAAGTAACGGAAGTACTTTAAATTACGTTTTAAGTACTTAAGCCTATATTCCAAGACTTTTATTTGAAATTCACGCCCATGTAAAGTGTCTTAAAGATATTTTATATGGTGTTTTAATACGTAGGCGTGCACTCAATTTTGTCTGTATATTTTTAATTTACCAAACAGAATATGTTATTGTTATTTATTGATCAATTAGAACAATTTAAGTAAACGGGCATTAGATTTTCTAGGATTATATTTATTAAGGCTTAATCGTCTACGATTCTAATAGTAGTTTTTTAAAAAGCACCTGCCCCTCCTCCTTAAAAAAAAAAAAAGTAAATGTCTGGTTTTAAAAATAAATCTAATAATTGTGTTTTTAATCTTTATGGTTGAACTACGATTTGTAATTACTTACAGATTACAATTAATCATATTCATAAATCATAATTATTATAGACATAATTATATGTGTAATATAATATATGTCAAGTACAATCGTTGAACGTATTATGATACAAACATCTAGATAAGAAAAAATGTGTTGTGTTCTAGATTAGTAGAAAAATACTTGAAAATAATCCGCTTTGCTCTCAACACGATGCGTAATTAGAACTGATACGATGATATGTAGAAACAAGATCTGTTTTCGAAATAAATCACACCTAAATGTTAACGGTATTCCGTTTTGTTATGCGCACAAATAAACAACAACAAGCTACAGATAGTGTTATAAAATATCACGCCCCGTCTAGGTGCGGTGATCAAAGTACTAGATTAGTAAACACGGTAAATGCCCGGTATCGTAGTCGGTTAAAAAGCTGACCGTTTCATTGAAAAAGAACGCTGACTGTTCACACGGTTCAAACGAGTACCATGCATTAATTAGGCGTACACCGCTATCGCCGGTGTTGCGTGATTGGCGAGCGCGCGTGACGCTGCGCCGTCAGCTTCTCCTCGCTCTCCTCCCGCTAATCATTTCCCTCGTCCTCTTCCCGGTGCTCCTTCTCCTCGTCACCACCACCACCACCACCATTATCATCATCATCATTATCATCATCGTTCATCATTCATCACCGTCATCATCACTATCATCATATAATCATCATTACGCTTCGAACGGCCGCTCGCCACGCGTTCACGTTATTGCCGTGCACGGTCGCAGTGCGTATTCGAACAGCGATAATAATAATATAACAATAATTATTAGATATTGTTGCTATAATAATAACGACCGAACGCGCGCGCAAAGTCCATTCGATTGTGTCTCCGCCGACTCGGTTCGCGTTTTTCGATAGATTATGATTTCCAAGAGGAAAAAACATAAAAACGTTCGGGCGCACCGCGAGCACGTGTGGTGTTCGTTTCGCGCGATCGGTGGTGGGAGTAGTGTTCGCGACGGGGACACCGGCGGAACCATACCGATAAGATTAAAAACGAAATGCCCGCGTCGGAGGCGGAGGCGACGGTAACGAGGCAAGTCGTCGTCCAACGTCTTCGACACAGCTCGCACGACGTTCGCGAATCCCGTTGCCCCATGTCGACCGACGAGCACGTGGACCAGCAACTGGAATTGCGGCAGCACCGCCCGCAAGAGCTGCAGCAAGGGGCGACGCGCCGGTCTCCGCCGCGGCACGACGTAGACGCCGCGTGGACATACCGCGCTCTCACCGTACTCGACGTGTTCCTCCATGTGTTCGTCGCATCCACCTTCGTCATCGGAATATGGCGGGCTTCGTACCAGCTGTTCGTGCACTACCACACGGCGATGAACCCTTGGTTGGCCACCAGCGCGTCCGTTGTCGTACAACTGGTTTGTATCAAAATATATCATATCGTTGTAGTCGTACCCGACGTCACGTAAAACGTTTGCGATTCGTCGTCTGCAGTGTCGACAACGCTGTGTAAAGCCCTAGAGAGCCCGCAGTGACGTGGACTTAGGACGAAAGTTGGTTTAGAATTTCGGCGCTCCGACCGCTATACGACCGTCTAACTATATTCAATATTATTATTATTATTATTACTCTTTTTCCGGGTAGGTTTTGTCTAAATCGTACGCCCCGAATCTCCTCGCCGGTAGCCTGCAATCGATAGATGACATCAGTAATTCTGTACTTGGTCTAATTCTCTATTTTACAGTATACATACGTATAATATTTTTTCGATTTCATATGCCACGCGACGTCTAAACAGTTGTACGGCTTTGTATAATAAGCTTTTTCATTATTATTTTTACACTGGTGGTTAAATTTACAGTTTCGGTTGCGATTGCTACAGTATACGTAGTGATATCCACGTATCGATTCTCATATATGGCTAAATGATGGCTAATGCGTAAGTTCGGCACCTACCAGTTATGCACTGCTCATATATAGCACCTAGCACTTTTGGTGGTATGTACCTACTTAGTTGAATCTATAGATTCATATAAATATCGACCACGGTAATTGATAATATGCTATTTAACGATTTATCATAGTAAATTATACAATTTGATTTAAAAACAAGTCGATATTCTATGTAACTATACTGAGTAATGAATATTTTGTTTTACGGACCAACATTTCTTAATAAAATGCTCTATTCGTTTCATAAGTTATTGGTTGATTTAACCAATAATATATTTGTCTATTGCTTGAATACTATTTTTTATCGATACTCGAATTAAAGATATTTTTACATACAGTTATTTAAAAGCCGTAATATGGCTTTGTACGACATATATATATAATTTAAGCTCATATTAAAAAACTTTAGTCATGAACAACCTTAGTAGGTGATAATTGTTGTTTTTAATTTTTAATAATTTTAATATAATTTTTTTTTTTTTTATTATTAGCTGCTATCAATATTGAGCGATCCCTTAGTAAGATATTTCAAAAGAAAAAACCATTCAAAAATTGCATTTTGGGTGATTTCTAGAGTATATATATATGCAAGATTCGTGATTGGCATGATAATGTATGTATACCAAGAATGGTTGCTTGAAGTGACATTAAATCATGTACATATCGCTATACCACCTAGCATTGTTCTTACAATTGCCATTGGTATATTATGTTATGTTCGTATGTTGGCCACAATCATGGGACCACCTACTTGTGGCCTTGAATTTGATCCCAAACCCGAAGAAATATTTCAATTTGAAAGAATGTTCTGGCCTGAGGTAAGATATCTTTATGTATAATTTGTAATCCAGCTGTCATTAAAATTATGTAACATATGTAATACCATCATAATGCCATTTCTTCTTTAATTTTTAAATTAGTTTTATTTTTTTCTTTCTTCGTTTAAAATTAAATTATTAAAAAATAATAATAGTTGAATAATCCCTAGGTATAAATATTAAATTAGTTGAACAAACAATTGATTTTCTTATCATTAAACAAATTTAAACATAATAAGAAAAATAATTTTAGAGTGGCATAAGTAAACATAATACCTATTTTTTGGTTTTCTAAAGCTTAACTTATCGTTTGACTTATCATTAGCGGGATTGACTAAATCTTCATTCTACAGTTAAGGGATTCGATCAAAAAATATTTTCATCTAAATTATACTTGACCTTTGACATAAATAAAATGTATAATTTAAAATACTATGAACAATAATAGATGTAATGGTATAATATCTGTATTGTGAGTAATTTAAACATTGTATTGTATATTATAAATTTCTTATATAATTAAGTTTATTACAATGCATTATCAATACTTGAATAAGTACAGTTTATTTATGTGAATTTTTATATTATAATGATAAATATAAACTAATTACTTTGGTACATAATTATGTTTAAATAGTATAAAATAGTCATCAATGTTTGTATCTATTTTGTTAATTGTTAATCATTACCTAAACTATCTATAATTTTTTAATTTTGTATTAAAATATAATGATGAAAATATTATTTTTGCTTCTCTTTTTCTTATTTATCAAATAAACTATTAAAGCAATTAAACATTAAATAAATAAATATGATATAGTTTCATAGATATTATGTAGGTTACGATAAGATTAAAAAAAACTAGAAATACCTATACACAATATATGTATATATATATGTGTGTGTATTTAAACGCACTAATACACATTTATAATTATTTATGCTAATGCTTTCCTTTATTTTGAAAAATATGTCACAAATAATTATAAAAATTAACTAACATAAGTTAATAACAATAAATTTATTATCTGTATTAATATATATTATATATTATATGTTTAAGTTTTTAATTTTCTTAAATTAACATACATATATGACGTAGTTACTTAGTAAAATAATGTTTTTCGTGAATTAGAAATCAGTTTTTACACTTTATGATACATAAAAAAAAATGTTGATAAATAATAGATGCTATTTCATGAAATGGTCACTATTCACTGCAATTTGAAATTTCACTAATAAATTTTTTAATAAGCTGTTGTGTGTATAATATTTGTAGTATTTTAAGACATGGTTTTTAATACGGCACGTTGTAGTGTAACATATAACATAGATGTAAATAATAATAATTTAAATAACATAAGTTGTTCAAACGAAAAAGAGATCTTTTTGAAATTCCTACTCTATAAGTGTATTAGCTGTAATTATTAAAAAAAAGTTCAAGTTAGAAACACAATAATCACCACTAAAAGTCTTATAAAATTATGTTAAAATTCTGATAGTTTAAAGCAATGTACTTCAAATTGCATTTTATTATGAATACTATTGTCTTATAAAAAATAAACTCAATAAATCAAAAAAAGTAAATTCAGTAAGATTGTAATAGGTTGTATCACATAGCACTGCATAATTTATTAAAATTTAAAAATCTAATGTTAGTAATTTAAATTTCAAAAAATATTGAACCATTTTTTATGATACAAACTACAAAAAGTGTTTTAGACAACAAAAATACAAATATTATTGTAATCACTAAACTTAAAATGTTATAATACATAGGTTTACAAATAAAACTTCTCTACCAAAAAGTTATCAGGAACTTTATATTACATTTTTATGTCTTAGCTATAAAAATTAAAAATTTTTATAAAGTTGGTAACTTACAAACAAATATTTTGTCATAAACAAATGAAAAAAACAAATAAAAGTCGAATTTTTCTAAGATTTCTAAATATTAGTACTTAAAGAATCAAAATATTTTGAAACATCTTATGATATAAAGAAAATGTTATTAAATACGCATTTTGTGAAAATTCAAATTATTATAATAATTATTTATTATTAAATTACAAAAAAAAAATATCAATTTTTCTCAAAAACAGGCTTTGCGTAAAAATTTTATTTTCTTTTTTTATTTATTTATTTTTTTTGTTTATTCCAATTATTTTGAAAAGTACAAATGAGTTTTTTTTACTTTTAACTTCCTAAAGTAAAAAACTTGATTTAATTTTCTACCAGGTTCCGCCCTCAAAATTTAAAATCGAAGTATTTTTAACATAAAAGTGACGTCGCGTACTAAATAAAAAAAAACATACCTTAAAATGGCAGTGACTAATACTTGAAAAAGCATCTAGTTAATGTAATTTTTCCTTGTTAAACGAAATGTATTAAATAAAACGATTGCATTAATTGACTACGACTTATATATAAATGTATTGATATTAAAAACGTGGGGTGATTGATTTAACTATAACACTTATATTAACATACGATATTATAATATATTATATTAATATTCTTAATTAGAATAAATTATAAACTTTTGTAAAGCGTAATGCAAATTTTGATAATCCAATTGATACGAATATCTATCTTTATTTCATTTTTTTATAAATAGATAACCTTGAACCTTACAAAATTATATAAAACTGAACAAATTAACGGTAACATACGAATATTAATAAATTTCGATTTAATTACACTAAATTATAAATTATACAAAAAGCTTCACAATTTACAACTTTGAAATAAAACCTTATTATTATGTTATTATCTAATTTTTTTTTGTTGAGAACATTTGAAATTTTATTTCAAGATAAATGATATATTTTACAACATATTTAAAGGTGTAGAAAATAATTATTCACCATATTTTTTAGGAATACCTTTAATTTGAAAAACAACATAAGAAGCGCTTTTCTCGGAAAAGTTTTTCCATATAAAACTGTCTTTGTCAAGATGATCGAAGCAAATTACTAATCCCCTAGTAATAATAGTATGTATTCCATGTTATAAACCTACCATTATAATTTTATTTTATTCATAGACGTGAACTCAGTTGTTGATAATTTAACTACATCCAAACTAAGTCTTTTTTATTTGGTGGATAAGCAGGTTTAAGTTATATAAATTATACGTTTATGAGTATGAAAATAAGTTCAAAGTTATTTAAAATCAATCAAAAAATTATTATTTCTAAAATTAGATTAGATTAGTAAAAAATAAAATAATACCATATTAAAAAAATCGTACCTATAAATGTAAACCACAATAATAATTTTCATACTTAATATATAGCTTTAAATTATTCAAAAATATTTAATCAATTAAATAATTTATCAAAAATTAGAATACTAATATTTTGGATATTTTGAACACAATTTGTAGTATTTTATTTATAATTAAATACATTAATTAATAGCAATTCATAATAAGACTGCTTCATGCATGTAATTCATATTTATAGTGTCGTCATTAAGTGGCTACTTTTTTCGTGTTGGTCCCAGTCATAAAATATAACTGCAAACGTGCTTATTGTAATATATAGTTACAGATTTTTTAATTCATTGCCTAATTATTTATATACTTATAAGTTATACAACATCCTTAATCCTGTAAGTAGATATAACGATAAAACAAATAATTAAAACAACTACAGTTTGTTAAATTAAATAAGGTCAAACACTTATTTTATGTGGGAAAGGGGATGCAGAACACGTGTTCACACCTATTTTTTATCTGCCAAAAATAAAACAAAAGCATTGATATGTGTTTTAAATTGTATATTAATTCAGTATTATGTATTTTTATTTTTTTTATTTTCAAATATATTTTATCTGTGGTCCGAAAATTGATCAACTCCCAATGAAAAATTGATAACAGTAATATATTAATACACTACCTACGTGTATAAATAAATACTTAATAAAAAATATTAGTAAAAAGATAATGTGTACGGTACCGGGCACATACAGATTTCTTACAATAATATCTAAATTAAACAATCACACATACGTAATTTTGATTTGCATAATTTTCATGGATATAAAATTTACAAACTATTTAGGTAATATACCTACCTGTAAATTTTTTAACCGAAAATATGATGAAACAAGATTCATGTAATGACTATTGACGAGTTTTTATCTAATATTATAATTGGTATGAAAATTTTAAAGTTGTATAATAACTAGGTAAGGTCGTAGGTATATGATCAAATGACACAATATTATTTTATGTTCTAATTTCAAACACAGTAGTATGAATTAAAGTCCTAATCGAGAAATAAAAATAATATGAAATAACAAAAAATTATAATTTCCCATTGAAATATCAAAAAGAATGATTATACGATAGTCTGAAAATTGCTTTCCTAGTTATTAATTCTAGTTATTCCCATTGTTAATGTATAAAAACTATATTGAGTATAGGCTTGTTAATGATTTTAAATTAGTCTGCAAATATTTTGGGTACCAACAATTAAAAAACTAAAATGATTCCTCTAAGTTAGGTTAGGTTATGCCGTTGAGTAGATATACCTATCATACCTTAAATTAATTACATATATTTTCGGACAGCTACAACTTTCAACTGTAAAAATTCCAAAAACGTGTGTGCATAATAGTACTATCTGTTGGAATATAATTTAGATAACCTTCAATGTTTCATTATGATGCACTTATACACATCAAATGAAATAGTATAATTATTTTAGTCATAGGTGCACCATAAAATAATAGAAAAATATTTTATGAACTAAATTTAGTGTAACAACTAAACAACTAATTAGAGCAAATTCGCTATAGCTAGATAATATAAAGTTAATATTATTAAATAATAACTATTGAGTTATAACAGTATTACTATCAGTTACCTAATACTTTATTTCCTCATTTCAGATTATTTAGTGTAAGCAAAAAATATTCTACGTATTATTTAAGCATCTTGTATCAAGAAATAATATAGTATGTGTAATAATTATGTTGATTTACATTGATAAA